GTAAGGACAAAATTTTATCTGAAGTCATTACCATTTTTTGAAAAATGGTTTGAACCCAGGAGTATCATTACATCATATAGCGTGATTGTCCAAGTGAGGGTAGTTTTGAAAAGTACTGTTGTTGGAGAGTGACGTTTCGACAACCTGAGCAGAAGTCATCTCCAGAGTCAAGTGAACAGTGTTTGTCAGTCGATGGTGTTATAAGTCTGGTACATTTAAAGTGATTGGTCAGTTTAATTTAGCCATGATGGTATTTTACTTACTTAAGACTCTTATAAAGTTTGTCACCGGTCATTGGTTGATTTTGATCCGTCTATTGTTAGTCAAATCAGTCTGTTTGAGGTCTGTCTATTGTTAGTCAAATTAAGTTAGTCTATTAGAAGTCCATTTGTCAGTTTCGTTGACATTGTGGCTAAGTCATTTGTAAGGTGCCAGTAGTGGTTGACATCTGTTAAGAGGCATTTGTTCTAAAGGCTGGTTTTCACTAGCGATGGAGTCGTAGTCAGAGTCATAATCAGAAGCATAGAGCAGTACGATCTAGCGAAAATCTAAACAACGAAGTTGGAAGCAGAACACTGATTCCGCTTATAACTCCATTGCTTTCGATTTAGTGAAAACTGCACTGTCGGAGTTGTAAGCAGAAGCAGAAGAATAAACCAATCACAATGTTTGATTCCGGGCCTTGTGATTGGTTGGTTCTTCTGATTCTTCCAACTGCGATTCCGTCAAGCTTATGACTCCGCTTACGACTCCGATTTTCGATTTTTGCTAGGTCGTAAGCTCTCTTACGACTCTGACTATGATTCCGACTACAACTCCGTCGCTAGTCAAAACCAGCCTTAAGTTAGTACCAGCTTTCCACGGACCAAGTTCTTTTCAGAACTACCCTCACCCAGATGATCACACTATATGAACTATTATTGTTTTTGTTGATCAGGAGACACAAAACAATATTACTTACAGCTATACTTACCTTATCTGTTTGAAGGCTGCCAGTAAGGTGCACAAGTTTGTCATGATATTCGGGGCTGACTTGTTCAATATAATTAAGATGAACAACTTGCTTCAGACCTTCTTCTAATGATAAAGCTGTTTGAACAGCCCTCCCCTGCACAGGTAAATTAAAATGCAGGAGAATTCATTTTAAACCCAGTTTAATTAGTTCTTGTTTCTGTGGTTTAAAGGTGATACTTCAATCAAATTTATCACCTGAAAATTCTAAAAGATTGTCAAAAGCAATATTACTTCCTTCTTAGACAGCCTCATATGTAGAACACCTGGGGGGAGGGGTGGGACTCCCATATAAAAAGGAAGGGGAAATGGCCCAAAAATTTTGAAAAGAACCCCTAAGAGGTACCAAGATCCTGTCTAATGGGTGTGGCTTGATTTTTTTTCACCCCATGGGAGGTTACAATTCTAAAGCTACACATTAA